GACGAGTTTTAGATAAAGTGCCCCCGCCAGCATTTTAAAGCATGGGGACACTGATGCACAAGATGGTCTGGGCATTGTAAGTAGAGCAGCTCTTGGAGTTGCTCTAATTAAAGCACCCCCCAGTCTCCGGAGCATGTGTAAAAACACCCCTCGGTGCCTTAAACAGTTTGAAGAAGGCTACCCACAGACCCAGCTCCCACCTAACATATCAGGCAAGAAGTGCTCTTAGCAGGTCAGAGGAGTAGGTATGGGTCTGCGGGATGAAAGCACAATAAAATAAATAGTTTATCATGAAACTCAGCAGCCATCGTTGTGCTGCTCCTGAGCTAGACCAGGCAATGGGTCATAGTTTCATAGTTACATAGTTTCATAGTTACAGGGTCGGAAGGGACCTAGTAGATCTTCTAGCCTGACCCCCCGCCAGGGCGGGAGAACAACCCAAAAAAAAAACCACCCTGAAAACAAAAATGGGACTCAAATGAGTCCAGCCAGGTAAGTATCCAGCCTCTTCTTAAAGATCCCCAGGGTAGGGGCCAGCACCACCTCCCTTGGAAGTTGGTTCCAGCTCCTAGCCGCCCTAACTGTGAAGTAGTTTTTTCGGATGTCATGATTCAGTCTGAATTAATTTCCCTGTCACCCCTCCCCCCATAACAATGATTTTGAGCCTGCATTGCTGCTGCATGTCCCTAAGCACACCAATCGCCCTCTGATCACAACCCGGTCCATAAGCTATTTGAAGGTGACATCTCTGCCCTGCTGGCTCAGCTAAACTGTCCAGTACACGAGAGGTGGGAAGCGTAGAGTCCAGGCTGAGCTTAGTCCCTTCCTCCTAGGTGGTAAGAGGAGTAGCTGTCTCACAGAGATGGCTCCCGCCATGCACTGCAGTGCAAGATGTGATCACTGCCCGGGGTGGGCTATGTAAAACAGGACCTTCATGCCCCTTTACTCCCCTGTCAGGTGTGCAAGGCAAGTGATGATTTTGTCCTGGGTTTTTGTCCGTCTAGGTTCCGTTTCATATTCTTCATTTTGGGAGCTTCACATCACCTCTACTGCTACTGTAGTCACATGCCTGCACATCTGTATTGGTACAGAAGCAGATGAGTGCACAGGCTCCTGGGAGTTTTCAGTTGAACTTGCCCTATCTCTTTGTTACCAGCAGAAGCTGAAAGAAAAGGCTTTCAAGCTCCTGTTGTTCCAGACCCAGAGCTTGCAACTTCAATCAAGGTTACTCCTTACAAACCTACTGGAGCTCACAAGAGGACCCCAGGCTACAACAGATCTTAGGGCATCATTTGGAGTGTGATTTCAGTGCCACCACTTGTACAGAATACTGGGAGGACATAGTGCTGGGACCAAGGGTGAAGTAGGGTAGCAGCTTTGCTAGAGAGGATTGCACTTGGGTGTCAAGGTAGAGGAGAAAGCTACAGAGACAGAGTTGGTACTGGATAGAGAGCCATTGGGTCTGAGTGGTTTTGATGGCTTTCATTGGCAGGTTATGACAAATTAGGTGAACATGCAAGCCTGTGCTTCTGAAAACCTGGTGGGATGACATCCCTGTTATCCCTGTGATTCTGCAAGAGCATGTCTGGGGAGAGGACTGGGACATGCCTGGGAAGGAACCAAACCAAAGAATCAATTCTCACTATGGGAGCATCAGGAGTCATTTCCCCTGCAGAACTGTAGTAGGTATTTGACCTCAATTTGCAATATAAAGTGCAATCGTTTCCCACAGAGTTAAGTTTTCAATCTAGAAGCTCATTTCAGTCATTCACGTGAGAAAAGGCAGGCTTTGGTCATGTTTTAACTACAAATCTTAGCACATCCTCAAAGAAGGAGCTGACGCCTCTGCAGTTTTGGCAGCCTAAAGAACACCCCTCCAGGGGAAAGGGTCATTGCCTTCTCAGGCTCTTATGCAGCTCAGCTGAGTGACTCGTCCACTGCAGCTCTAAGGGAGAAGTTAATGAGGAGCCATTGAAAAGAATGGGATTTACCGTGTTAAATCCCTGGGATCTGCCCTGGAAAAGTCCCCTTTAATCTCACTCTCTCTGTGGACGTGAAGGTCCTAATAGCAGAGTCAAGCAAAGTGCAGAGAGCAGGATTAGGAATAATGAGCTCTCCCTTCTGATGAAAGCCAAGAAAGGGGCATGTGTGCATGCATGTGTATCTTATTTGTGGCCCCCATGTGTTTACGAGCCCTGAGCTATCTTGGATTAATGCTCCCTGCTTTGCTCACTCTCCAAGAGCACTTCAAAGCATAGGGAACTTGCTTTAAATCAAATGCTGTCAACTCAATGGCCAACCAAATCTAGTACTAAAGGGATTTGGGGTACACCTCTCTTTCCCATGTGCTTTTGAGGTAACTTTCTCCAAGTCCTGTAATAAAAGGGATCCTTTCCCTTCACTTTCAGCACTGCCTTCCACAGCCCCATGACACAGCCAAGGAATGGAAAGCTTGCCTTGGAGGGGGCAGCGTGCATGTGTGAAGGGAAATCAGAGAACAAATTAAGTAAGTACAAATAAACACAAAAAAGATCCAGTGGGACCTGGGGTGAACTGAGAAGATGTGCCCTCTCCCTAAGAGGTGTGTGCATTCAAGGTGGGTGGGGGGAGGTTAAAAAGGCCCAGCTGCCTACAACCTGCAGGTCCTCAAGCATTTGTGGAGGCTCTGAGCTGCTAGAGAGGAGGGGGAAGACTGCAGAAGCACTCTCCTCTCTGCTCCTGTTAATGGAAGCGGTTCTGAGAGCAAGAACACTCCACCTGTAACTCAGTGAGGGAAAAGTGTGCCAGCAACTCGACTGGGGTCTGAGCCAGGCCCCACGCAAGCACCTGGGCTGCACAACGTGGGCTGGTCTCCCCACTCAAGTTGCTTTACTCTTTACATTTGAAAGGATTTAAGGGCAGTGGTTCTCAACCTGCAGCCCATGTGACATCCCATTAAAACGTTTTTTAAACGAATACACAAGAAGTAAGCTGTGTGGGTGCAGCCCACAGCACATTGAGTGCTGCCACCCTGGCCCACAATGGCAAATAAGTTGAAAACTAGTCTTTTAGGGTGTTCGAAGCCTTTACCTTTCTATGGGTAGTAGCTGGTCAGACTCAGCCCAGGGCTCAGCAACAGCAGCAGCAAGAAAACAACTTGTATACTGGAAACAACTGGGTTTGCTCTGGTGTTTAGTGGAATCCATGGCAATTTCACTGCCTGCAGTGGCCACTGGACTGCGTCTCACAGAGCATGCTTGTGGTTTCTCCCTCTGCACTGGAACACACACTTATTTGCACCATGCCTATTTCTAGCTTTCTAATCCAATTATTACATTTACTGCCTCCCTCCTCCCAGGACCTTCACCCACCAAAGAGCAACATTTGATTTATTACCACTCAGTGCAGCACATTTCACAGCAGCTTTATCTGTTCATTATGGAAAAAATTAAATTATGTTGCTGAAAAAAAATCACCATAAATCGTGAACTAAACCAGTCAATCTTTGTCCCCGCGCTGCTGTGAATCTCAGATGTTCTTGTGCACTCCTGTTTTAATTAGATGTTGATCTATTGTCAGCTAACTTCCTTTGCCTCCAAACTGCTGCAAGTGCCAGGCATAAATAAAAGCAATGCAGCACAAACTAAAAATCAATCTGTCCACAAGGATCTGCACTTGAATCGATTCCCAAGTTATTGGCATGTTACTGCTTGGGCTTCAACCAGAATCCTTCTGCTGCAGTAAAGAAAGACCCTAGGAAGTGCTGATAACTTTAAGGCTCAGCTGAGGTGTTTCATCAAAGAAAGGAGATCTGGACCAAGGCTGTGGTGTGTCTGCGCCCCAAGCAGAGCCAGAACAAGGTTGGGACTTTTGGGGGCTTTGAGCAAATGATTTTCCTTGGTTTCCATGGTCCATGGAGTTCAAGTCCCGTGAGTTTCTCCTGAGGCTTAGCAATTCTTTCAAGGCACCAGGGCCACATAAGTTGCAAAAACCCCCAAAAAGAATAAAAGCAAATGGAAAGCTTTGCAGTTCCTTGACAGAGTTGCCTGGTTTCTCCTCTCATTTGGAAATGCCTCTAAGGTAAATGAAGAACTAGCGGAAACTGCCATCACTGCTGAAAGAACTGCTGCAACAGAAACATGGAGGCACTTTCCTACATGCTGCCCGCATCAGCTCTTTCCCAGAACTGCATAATGTCATTTCCCAAAATATGGCATCCTGAAGAAGCTATTTCCAAAAAAGGACTTCATGGTACCAGCAAATTGATGTCTCCAATGCTGTAATCTAACTGCTAGAATTACAATAGCAAGGTCAAATGGCCAGTATCATCCCAAGCATGGTCTTTGGCAAGGGGAGTAAAGAACCTTTTGTCCTACCCTGGAAAGATCAATAATGGGCATCTTTCCTCCTGTTTCAGAAAGCCCCAAAGCTTTGATGAGGTTGAGGGTGATAATCCAAGGCTGATATCACTTACCCGCCACAACTCCAGCAAGATAGACAAAGCCAATCCTCAGTGCTCCATGCACCATCTCAAGAGGAACCCCAACCAGAAGCTGAAGCACAACGTTGAGTCCAAGGTGTTCTATCCTGGGGCAAAGAAAAATAACAGTTGCATTCTTTTCTGTCTCCCCACTTGCCAACCCATGATGTGAAGATGTCTTGGAACTAAAAGAGCCACAATTTCTTTTGCTAAAGCTTAGGGAGTTCTCATCCTATTCTTCTATTCTTCAGACATTAACCTGCAGTGATTTGAATCAAACCCTTTCAGGGAATGCATTTCAACACAGTTATTTTAGTTATTTTAGTCTCTTTTTGATGCCAAATTATGCACTGCAAGGATCAAACTTTTGTAGCCCTAGACCTGCTGACAGAAAGACAGTGAATAAAATATCCTGCCTGAACACGTTTTATTGTATGAAACAGATGCTGCAAAATGATTTCACCTTTAAGCAAAGTCCTGTTTAGTGTAGTCCTCATTATTGCCAACGCATAATTGAAGCTATTGATGCATGTATAACATCAGAAATAGCTGCTGCGTGGAAGTAAATAGAAAGCTAGGAAAAAATCTTGTTATGGGAGTCATGGGATTCAGAGTCAACATGCTTGGAAAAAGTTATCTCCATTATGTCTACTAATTACCCTTTGTGCATCTTAGGTCCTTTCAGCCAAAGGCCTCAAAGTGCTCTACAAATATTCATGGGTATTACATCTTTTTACAGCTGTAAGAAAAATTTGCAAAGAATTAAGTACTTAGGCCCATGCAGTAAAACAGTCACAGAGCCAGGAATCGCGATCTGCTGCTTTCAGTGCTTGACAATAACCCCCTGCTCTGTACATTTGGTTGACAGGGGGTTTCTAAGCAACGGGAGGATGGATGCAGCTGTCCCCCTTTTGTCTGACTGGTACGCAACACATTATATAACCTTCAAGCCATCCCACCACAACTCTCATTTGGTGGCCCATCCTCATGTGCTCATAACAAGGTCAGGAAAAGGCCATGGAGATTGTGTTGGGTGCCTTTATCTGCACTTGGGGGATACAGCCAGGCCATGGGGAGATTTGCAAATATGCTGAGTGTTGTTGGAACTCTGCTCCTATCGGGGTATAGTGAAACTCCTACTAAGTGTGCTGGGATCAGAAGTAGGACATGGCTGAACTCTAGAAAATCTAGCTGCTGTGTACACAAACAATCTTGAGGAAGCATGTGTGACTCCTTACCTGCTCTGGGTTTAAAGGACAGAGCTGCTGTGTTTGGTCATTAGTTCAGAGAAGTTGGGATCTTACATCTGCTAGGATGCTACTTAGCACATCCACATTGCTTTCCATATTTCAATTAATCCCACAAATATTTATGCATCCACCCTGTTATTGAAGGCAACCCCGCAGCTTTAACAATGGTACTGTGTACTCCTTGAGAGCTCAGCTTTATCCCTCATGTTTACACTGTCCCAACATCCAATCGGTTATTCTCTTCCCAAAACCTTGGGCCTTGTCCCAATGGAGAAATAATCCGGAATGGCTGTTGCTGAATAGTTTTTCTGCACACTCGCTTCTTGAGTGAACACTCCTGCTCTACCCCAAAACTGCCCTAATAGACTTACAAAACAGAGGACCTTCCTGCATGGGGGCACACAGAGTTGCACGAGAATGCCCGTATGTGGTATTACTGTGGGTGGCTAGTGCACTTTAGGGTGATGCCCTCACTATTTCTCATGAACTTCCCCATCACTTTGCTTGGAGTATATATATTCAGTTCTTTTGGTCTTTTCTCATGTTACACCTGTTGTAATTTTCTTAATAGAAGGAAAAAAACCCTGTTGGTACCAGCCTGGCTGCTGCATAGCCTCCCAAAGGATATCATGGCAGCTTCATCCTTTGGAACATTTTGACTGACAAAGCATTAGAGCTAGAACTGCTACAGAGCATAGTCCTGTCCTTACGGGTAACATGGACTAATGCCTCAACAGTCCTGTTTTCCTCTCTAAGGATCTCTATTCATGCTCCCATCCATGCACTCCCACGCTTCTATTTAAAGCCTGCAATGTATCATTATTCAAAATTACCGCTCCAAATTGACTGCACTTGTCGTCCTTGCTCTGCATGGTGTGGCCACTGGGCACAGTCTCTTTCTCACATCCACTCTGCTCAGTGATGTACAAGGAACTCAAGAGGGACTAGCAAAGATCAGAGACTTGCAAAGAGGAATAAAAACATCTTAGGCCATGTCCAGGCAAATGCAGACATGTGGTATGTGGCGCCGCAGACCTGTCTGTGGTGCCACACACTGCACATGCAGGCATTTCCCGTGCAGCTACTTTGCAGCACAGGGGGTTTCCTTGGCCCCGGAAGATCCTGCGGTCAAAATACCCACACCAAAAAAAAAAAGTGGGGTGACGCATGCACACTGCCCAGAACTGGAGCCTGGCTTGCCGGAGTCACGCTCCAGCTGCCGGCCAGGCTCCCTGCTGCAGGAACGCTGAGGCTGCAGCTCCCCAAGGCTCCCATAACCCCAGGTAAGGCTGCTGGGGCCAGCACAGTGCCCTTAGAGGCCTCATTTCACAGGAAAAAAAATAGAGGTTTGGAGCTAAAATGTAGAAAATGTCAGAGGGAGGGGTCCAACATCATCAAACAAAGCACTTGTCTTTTATGTTAAAAAAGCAGCCTTTGTGAGAGCTGATTCTAGTTGAGGACCCTGAAAGCTGTATCAGTTGCTCCGTTACAAGCTTGTTCATGAAAAACGTCTCCAGGAGTGATCCATGCATTCCACTTTCCTGTCCAGCTAAGAGCACCAAGGTTCTGTACTCTAGAAGGAAGCACCAATAAAACATAATTAGCTTTCTCCAGCTCCAAAAGTGCCATTCTTGAAATGACAATAAGGTTGATTTATTGGGGTCTTAGTCTTCTGTGGGACCAAACAAACGGGGCTGAGAATCAATGCAAGTCATTAGTTATGGCAGTGTTACGAATGGGCAGGCCCCAGATAATCAACATGAAAGCATGAAGGGCAAAATTTACAACTTTGCCTGCCCCCCAGGCCTCTGATAAAGCTCTTTCCATCAGGACTGAGGCGCACACAGTACATTTTTGGAATCTTTCTAAAAGCACAGCAAGCCAGCCTTAGCAACTGCCTTCTTCGACACCTTCTGACTGTCACCAGCACACATAGAAAGGCCTACAAGCGCAGTAAATTAAGGAGGATTCCAAATTACCATTTTAAAGTCTCAGAAGGAAGTATAACAACAATAGTCTCCACCCCATTATATTAACCTGCCCTTTGAAAATGAGATGAGAATAATGAGTCCACAATAAAAAGATTATTCCCTTTTCAGAATGCATCCATTTCTCTGATAGGGAGGAACATAACAAATAAGCTGACAATAAATGATCATTTAGCCACCTAACTATTGATACTACTTCCTCATAAAAAAAAAAATACTACTGGGTTTATGATGCAAGTAGGACTGTGCATAGGTTTGATGGTTATGTATCTACATGATATAGAATCCACTGAAGAAATAATAAGGCTCTCTGGGATAAATCTGGAATATTTACAAAGGTTAGACATTAGCTACTCTGTCTTCACTACCACTTCCCTCAGAAACCAGGCACGGGTGTGAAATAAACTTGGTAATTAAAGAACTTGAGAATTTTTCAAATGGGTGTGAATTATGCCACACTTCTGCTTGCTGAAGCAGACAAGAAATATTTCATGGATAACAAAACCATGCTGCAATGAACGTAGGAGAAATATAAATGCAAATGATTTTACATTATCCCCCAGCTTTCATTTTTCAGGATCCCACAGCTATGTGTGATCCTGACTTATGGTAAAAGCTATACAACAGACATGCATGCATATAAAAAGAAGGTAAGTATGTATACAGTAGGAAGAGTTAGTTGGTGCTCAATAGTTTACACAGAGTAACTTGCTGCTGTTAGCCAAATACTTCCTTCCTCCTCACACTTTGCATGTGAAATCTGTGGCCAGTAGAAGTGTCCCCCTCTCTACCTCCATCATTCCCAACTTCCCCACTCCTCAGTTTGAGGTATATTTGGACCTGGCCTTTTCTGGGGATATTTAGCGCTCAGGAGACATTGGTATGAAAATTCCTTCTTTCTTTTCTGGCCTGCCCTTAGGACAAGTGAATTTCATCTTGGGTGTTACATATGATGTTTATTCCAAATACGCGGGTGAGATCTTGCGTCCAGGACCGATTACAAGCTCAGGAAGCTATTCCCTAGCAAAGCAGGGACATCCATTTGTTCTTTCCAGGCTTTCAAAAGACCCTGCTGGCTGAATGGAGTCTAATTTCTCATTTTAAAAAGAAGTCATTAGGCACTCTCATATTCAGGGTAACAGAGTACCAGTGAAGGTGAGAGACAGAAAGGCTGGCATCTCATAGTGAGAAGGAGCCTGGGCTCCTTCAGGCTCTAGAAGCCATTCCTAGGCTGCCTTTGGGGGACTCTCTCAGAAAGCAGACAAGTCCAGAGTTGTCCCGACGAAGCAACCACTTGGCAGGGCACCCTATGACACCCTGTTACCACCAAACACATCACAGTTCTTTGTGAAATTCACGTGTGTGTGTTAGTAGATGTTTTTTCCCCTCCTTACTCTTCCAGCTCTACTTGGGCGCAGCTGTTGATGAAGGGGAGTGAGAGGCATGTGTTTGTGGGGGGTTATTAGTTCACTATTGACTCAAAAGAAAAGCACCACTTATTTAATCACCACTTCCAACCCCACCTCCAGGAAAGATGAAGAAACAACAGCCACTACTTCAATATGTCCCTCAAGGGTGTTTGACTTGTTTTACTGCATGGGTCATTCATCTGCAATTGAAAAAAATCACTTTTAAAAATCAGGTTCTAAATCATCCAGAGTTTCTTTCTCTCTCACTCAAGAAACAGCTGTGGGGGGTCTCCAAAGCTCATGCAATACTTACCCTGCATGCATGAATATGTAGGTTAGGTACCTCCAGGCCTGAGCACGGAGCTGAGGATGATAAACCAGTGAGTTCTTTAGGTATAAAGGATGGGTGACTTGCAGCACAAATCTGTCCAGCACCACTCCGTTGTAAAGAAAAAAGGCAACCTGGAAGATCAGGAAGATTCCTCAGTTAAACACTGTATCCATTAAAGTAAACTACTAATGTCTATGATCACAAGGTTTCTGCTCTGGGGAACTTTCATTCCAATGACTTGAGTGTTTCCAAGCACTATCTAACACATACCAGGCACTATGAATGCCTCCTGAAGTCAGTGAAGCGAGTGGAGCTGAGGGTGCTCAGTACATTTCCAGTTTGGTCCCTTTTCAACTCTTGTGAGAGCCGTTCATATTTCACAGAACCTTTGAGCATCGCATATCTGCTGAGTTGAGGTCTCCTTTGTGGATGAGTGATAAAACCAACCAGCTAATCAGTTTAGCTTTTCCAAATAATGAGTCCACTTTCTGTCATCCCAAGAATGGAGGCTGCATTAAGAATTTTTTTAAGTATTTTTCTACTACGTAAGTTTTCAAAACTCCATCTCTCTGATTTTCAGTATAACGCTCACTATAATTTCTATAAGACCTAATTGGATCTGTACTCCTGAACAATCTTCGGTTTATTTTTTCAAGCTATACATGTTTTCACAGACTAACCGAGTCTAATTAAGATACAATATTTTAAAACTTCAGAAAACAAATGAAGCCCACAAATTTATATACAACCTCACTACAAAAGATCCCAAAGTTTATCGCCACTGAAATGTAGCTATCACACGGGGGAAAAGAAGGAAACCAACCCATGCATGGTGAGGGACAGGGATGCCTTTTATTGAAGAGTAGCAAGACAAACAATGAGGCCTCAGGAACAGTGCTAGGGAATTTTTTAGTGTCCATGTAAAACTTGGATTTTTATGTCCTTATGCAAAAGATCACTGTGTGTGTAATAAATGATATAGAAACTAATTTTTATCTAACTAAGAAGCTAAAGTAGAAGGGATATGAACCCAAAGCTCTCAAGATTCTGGGTCTTCCAACCAGCTGACTGAATCATTGTACAATCCTCTGTCAAAACCCATAGACCACTAGCTTAAGCAGAGCTTTATAGCCTTGTTGAGGTACCAAGCCAACAACTGCAGTAGGAAACAGTGATGAAATGCCCCAGGCTTGCACTTCTGGAAATGTGGGCTCAAAGCCTCTCTTTTACGTGAGGACACAGGAGACAGAGAACATGCTTGTTTCCTCCCAGCCCCTCTCCCTGAACATCACCAAACTAGCACAGAGGTCCAGAGTAGCAGTAACCTCTGGTCCAAAGAGACAGGTGCCGTGTGTGTGTGTGTGTGTGTGTGTGTGTGTGTGTGTGTGTGTGTGTGTGTGTGTGTGTGAGAGAGAGAGAGAGACAGAAACACTTGGGATTTTCAGGAGCAGTGCAGTAGGTTTACTTGCCTCTACAATGGTGATGGCAATCATGAACCAGGGTGGAGGGCAGCAGGTATAGCTGTCATAGTACCACTTTCGGTCTATCTCGCGGGGCAGGGTTTCATACGCAACGTGTCGAATCAGGCGCTGGGACAGGCTTAGTCCTGTCTCGTCCAGCAGCGCCTTGCTGCACAGCCTCCTGTTCCCCTGCAGAATAGCTTGGCGGAAGCTATTCGACCTTTTGTTACTCATCTGAAAGAAAGAAAAGGAAAAGCAATGAGGCCAAACAAAGGCACAGGAAAAGTCTCTTGAGGAGGGGGTGGGGGCACTGCTGGACTGTTGCTACCAGGCTGCAGCCATCTGAGCCCAAGGCCCAGAATGACCAGAAGAGCAAAAACTATTAGGCTGGAGTCACCTTAGGCAAGGTTCAGGGTGACAGCCATGGGAAGACTGAACATCAGGGTTTGAGACTATTGGAAGTGGGCAAGACCCTTCAGGCTGGGGCTATGTGAACGTGGGGTTCTTCCCAATCCCATCATCTCTTGCAGTTCCCTTTTCCAGCTTATCCAGTTCTCAACTTCCTTCCCTTCAGAACCAGCTGCCCACCAATATGTACCCCCTCACATCCTCCTTCAGGAATCTGAACAAGCCACCTGGTCCATAAAGCAGTCCATAAGGCATCCTATAATGTACCTGTTCAGGGTGTTTGAGCTCTGCAGGGCAGGGGTTTTCTCTGCTGCAAATGATGTCCATTTACAGACTGATAGGCACTGACATTCCCATTCCCAGGAACTTGTGCTACTTTACCACAGAAGGGGAATTAAAAAAAAATTGTCTCAGGCTGAATTAGCCAAATCAGTTCCAAATTCTATCAACTGAGCAGAACTCAGTCATTCAAGTCCAGTTGGTGCTACCACCAGCAAGTATCCTCCATCCCAGACTCTTCAGTCTGGGGCTTCAGATACTCCCAAATACATGACAGGCAACCTAGGTGCAGGCTCCAAGCCCAGAGGACTTAGAATTCAGATGCCCCCGAGTCTCACTTGCCCTTAGCCCAAAGACCAAAGAAGCAAGTTAGGGAGGAATCCTCCATTTCCATAAAATAGGCATGTAGCTGAGATCCTCCCATTGGGAGGTTATAGTAGAGTCTTGTAAGGTGTTCTGCCCACCTGTCCAAAGGGCGGACAGGCTACACCCTCTACTACACAATGCCATTCAAGGTCATGTAGGCCCAGGAAACAGACCAGTGCAGCAAAAAAAAAACTACACTTGATCTTAGCCCACAAAAGGCCAGGGGAGGGAAATGATACATTTCTATCGTGAGCAAAAATGACCATGCTAGCAACATGGGAGAATTCAGATTTAACTAGTAGTCAGACCCTCCTAGCTATGGTGAGTGTGCAACAGATGAGTAATTTTGTTGTGGAAAGGGTTACAGTTATAAACAGAGGGGCAGATTTCCAGGCAGTTGAGACTCACCACAGTGTGTCTCATTTGTATATGCAATGTGTACAGAATTAGCTAATTAACTTTTGAGCATGCAATTTCCCAATTTGAATGCATAATGAAAGTAACTGCACTCGCAAGTTAGGCATATGGAATGTCAGAAAAAAAAGTCAGACCCTAACTAATTTCCAATGAAGTTGAGATAACCCCTAATTAGCCCTGCTGCCAACTCAGCCTATTGTTGAACCATATACAAGAGCTGCGAGTGATGCTGAGTTAGTGCCATTTCTCTGATTGAATCTTTGGTTCTGTGGGATTGGAACATAAAAACATTTGCTTGTGGAGGAGGGAGATGGGGGGGGTAGTTTGCATTTGCTAAGCTTTTACAATGACATATGCAGGAAAGTAAGTTTGATGGACTCATTCCAGCTCTGAGCTAACTAGCATCACATCACACAGCCCAGAGCAGCACTGGCCTTCATGTTGACAACCGTAGCAGACAGGCAACAGACAGATTGTTCAGTAAAACCAGATTATACTTTAACCCTGAACAGTGGCCTCCACTCCCAGTAAGTCAGCAGGTTGATGTGTTAGCAGGAACTGGCATTTCTGTGCTGGTTTTGTGGCAACAGGTCTCCAGAGCTGCCAAGATGCCACCTTTCACCTATATTAAAAAAGCATCTACAAAAGCTGAAACCAAAAAGAAAACCAGAACAAACAGCACTGTAAAGCTGCAAACAGATGTCACGTTTATCCCAGGGTAAACCATTTTATCCTGGAACAAAGTGCAAGTGAACAGACATGCATGCCTGCCCGCTGTCCCAGGATTAATGCTAATAAAATTTCCTGGGTAAGAGATAGTAACAATTTATCCCAGGATAAATCATTCTACTATTGTTTCAATAACTGTGTCATTGAATCAATAGTAGAAAAGCAGTACTACATTTAGCTGTTCTCTAAACCCTGATAAGAAGGGTGATGGGTATACATGCCAATCCTGGGATATTTTTGTTCTGAAACAAACACAGGCACAATTTATCCAGGGACAAATGCAACATCTGTTCTCAGCTTAAGAGACATTGTGTAAAACCAGATATGGTGGCTACACTTCTTACACAGATAGCCCAGATGTGGTGGCTACACTTCTTAGGCTAGCATGCTGTCTTAAGGGATACATCTGAATCTTGTTGTGCCTTTTACGGCTAGGATTCTCCTATGATAAGTTGTGGACGATAACTAGGTGTGAGCCCTAAGCAATTACAGCCTCTTGTTGCCCCTCAGGCTTGAAAGTAACATTCTTGCATAAGCACGGGGCAACAAGACGGACCCTTTTCCCTGTGTTCACAGGTGGAAAGAAGCACAAAATCAAGCTGCAGAGTCTCCTTGAACAGACTGCCTTCTCTCAGCCGCACAGTCCAAAAGATATCTGCTGCAGTAGGAAGGAAAAGAGAGAAAGCACAATAGCGCTGGCATCTCTGGGTCTTTGGATCACTTTGTTTTTGGCTAATATCCTCCGAACAGCAATGCCTGAACCGTGGGCTTTCAGACATGCGTAGGCTGTTGGGTAATTACTCCAAGCTGAACTGAGCTGCTTAGAATGCACTAATCACTGCAGCAAGCATCTTGAAGTTAATCACTGTAATGGAGAGTACAGAGTCACATAAGGTGATCATCTGCTGGCCTGGCATGGTCTTTTGAGCTCTGTGCACACTCCCCGAAATCCAACATCACAGCAGCTGCTCTGTCCTTACAGGCTCAGATGATGGGGCCCATCAGCACAGGCTGAAAATAAGAAACTCAGATGCATGAGAAAATATTCAAAGGGAAATTCAGGTTTTGTGTCTTTTGAAATGTCTTGTAGAATTTTTTTCTGAATAAAAATGTTGAAAGGAAAGTCTCAACTGGAACATTTCCATTCCAGTTTTCAAAAATCAGGAACCCCCCCCCACTCTTTTTTTGTTTGTTTTTTTTTGGGCGGGGGGGGCTCAAACTTTCTTTTCTTTTTTTGGCTGCTCCATTTTCCTTTCTCCCCCTACTGCTACAAAGGGGTGGAAAAAACTTCCAACCCCTGCCCCTAATAACCCCATTTTAATCACTCTTTTGTTGCTCTTGTCACAACCCAAGGGTGTGATTTTGTGTGTGCGCGCTTCGGCACTGCTAAATTATTTCCCGCCACGAGGAGCTTTCTTTGCAGGGTGCATTTCTCAGTTGCAAAGAGAAAACCCCGGTGCAAAGGAGTTCCCGCCACCCGCATGCAAATTTGTGTCCCACTATTGGCCAGTTCTAAATTATTCCCACGTGGCGGCTAGTGATTGGCTTGCTAGCCGTATAAGAGGCTTGAGCGGTTTCCGCCCAAGTTGGAGAACTCCACAACCATCTGGAGGAGGAGAACTTCACGTCTCGTGAAGATCTCTAAGCGCTGCGGAGCCTATCGGACCCAGTGTGTACCTTGAGAAGGCTACAGGGGTCTGATCAACCTCTGGCCTCTCTCCGTCGCCGAGCGCGATCCCTCGACGAACCCCTTCCCTGCGCGCAAGTTCCACGGAGCCTAGCAAACTTCGTGTGAGTGTATCCAGAGCTCTTCTCCAAGTTGTTTTCTTCAGTTGACACGACGGGCTCGTGTTTTTAGAGCCTTCAACCAGATTGGGCTAGAGTTCGTGTGGAAGGAACTCTTGTCCGCTCTTCTTCTTTCCTGTCTGTAACTGCAACTCAAGCAAGTTTTCCTGCCTGCACCGCGACCATCTACGGTGTAAGTAAAATAATCTTTAATCAACCGCTACGCGTCCGTGCCTAATTCTTGTCCGCCGGCCTGCATTCCCCGACCCGCGTGCCGGGGCTGCTGGCCACAGCCCGCCGCGCGCCCCCAAGGGCCTCGGACCGCTCCCGGCCCGCACAGCTCTGAGAACCCAAACGGCATTTTTCAACTTGAGAAGTAAACTTTCACAGGAAGTAAAGCGATTCAGGGATATTTGGCTGTTGCCAAGAAGCTTTTCTCAGAGAAAAATAAATGCTTTTCAGACAAAGTTGTCCCTTCACTCCAGCACACAGTATTTTCAACCCAGCCCAGTATTTTCAACCCAGCACATAAAACCTAGGTTCCCTTGAAAAGACTAGGCAATAGGCTGATGTGTATTTAGCGAGGTAGCAGCCGTGCCTTTTCTCTGCTCAGTAACACACCTCTCAGCAGTACAGAACGGCCTTCCCCAAGAGAGGACAAAATCTTGAGGGACCCCTCTACACTGGGTCCTGTGGGGAAGAGCATGAAAGGGTGAGAAAGGACAGTAAGACTTTTGTGACTTATGTTATTTGAACTGAAGATGGGTGCTCAACAGGCCCCGAGCACGAGGCAATTGCCCCTCCTGTGCCCCCCTTGCAGCAGAATACGTGTGTGCTGAGTTCAGCTCAGTACAGGCTGTCAAAGCCGTGTGCTGGGCACATGCGCTCACAGAGACTGGGCATCTGTTCTGCCGTGCTTCACTCCTCTTGTCATCACAACTAAACACAAATTCAGGCTGAAAAGAAATCTGTTTGTCTCTTGCAAACAGAGAGAAACCTAACAGCCCGCAAATGCTGCTGATATTTCTCCTTCAACAGTAAGGATGTCGTTTATTTTCCTGGCTACTGAAAAACAGTAGGTGTTCTTGCTGTTTTGTCACATCAGCCTACAACAGTAGAAAGCCATCATTTCCTCAGACAGCTAAATAAGGTGATAATTAGAGGTGAGAAGTGCTGCCAGCCCCTGGCAAATGATACCCTCCCCTCTCAACAGAGTCATCACTGCGGGGACAACAAGGGAACCCAAGAGA